GAGAAAGAGAGAGAGAGAGAGAGAGAAGTGGGGACGCCTGGGAATTGCACGAAAGTTATTATTACCATAATTTTCGGCTAAATGCACTGCACAACTCACCGCCGCTGGTAAATCCAGCGTCGATGTTTGCCCACGTACGCGAACGGGATTACTCCGCCGTCGAGTTAGAAACGATTGCATTGCATTCGTACAGGAGCCACTTCATTATTCCTAATGGATCCTGAGCGGATTTTAACCGAATCGAAGCGTCGTTTTGCTAATTGTGTCAGGACACCCAACACAACTCGCGTTCGCGCGTCGCGCTTTTTATTCCCCTCGGATAACGTGTATACACAGCGATCGCGGATTCGTTCCCGACTGAAACGTGACTTAAACTTTTGTGTTCCTGTACCCGTACGATTAATACGGTATAATTAACACAATGCTTACAAAAACGTACATGTCGAATTAGAGAAGCTTTAATGAAGTTTATAAAACGACACGTGTGCAGGTCTTCAGCAATAAAAATAAAAAACGATAAAAAAATGATTTAACGTTTCTTGTATTAATTCGAGGGGTTACCCACCATGGCAGTCAGTGTACATTTCTTCAGGAATATACTGCTATAGTATTGCGGCAGTTCAATACGCTATTAATACATAGCAATATCTCGCAAGCAATATCTATAGCAATAAATTAGCAATACTTGGTAATATTGTGCAATATGCGGTGGAAGTACATTAAATAACAGATGACAATATTAAGTAGTACAATAAGCAATACTAGCAATAAAGTGTGTTGCATTGCCATAATTAGCAATCACTGTACTTTTTTTTTTTTAGTAGTGGTTGACCCCTCGTATTAATCATTAAATGCATACATTGCATACGTTATGTCACTTTCAAGCGTTGTACAATCATGTTTTTGCCTTTTTCCGAATCGTTGTATTCGGATAAGATTTACAACTGCACGCTTCAGTTGTAAATTGATGTGACAATGACAATGTAGTCGATCACTTTCGATATATACAGCGGGAGGGGGGGAAGGGCAATTCAACTCAATAAATCTCCATCAGCGGACGTATCGCGAGGGGTGCATGCTACAATTCTACGTGATAGACGCCGGGACAGTTTGAACGGGTATAAAAAATGATGGTATTGGGAACAGAGAGCGATAACGAGGTACGTTGTCGTATCACGTCCCGGGATTTTCTTTTCCTTAATCGGCGCGCCCCGAAACACATGTGTGAAAGCGGACTTCTGCACCCAGCTGGACACCTTCCTGTGCAATTTAACGGACCTCACGTACAAAATGCTGGGCTTAACCGTGATATATGTACCTCTGGAGAGTAGGGAGTTCACCACGGAGGAGGGTAGCGCCGATAAGGAGTTGGTGAAGAGGCTGGAGGGTGTGGTGGCCCATTGGAACACCCAAATCAAAATAGCCCTCGCTGACCTGGAGCCGGCGATCCAGCACGAGTTACTGTGCCTCGACGACGAATATGACTTCTGGACTTATCGATGTAAGTGCTTACTCCTAGGGAAAGACGTATAGTGGTTGCGAGAAGAGAGGAAAGAGAGAGAGAGAGAAAGGATAGAATCGTTTCCCGATAATATATATCCAGAAATTTCTTAGGAGGGACAAAAGTTTCTCCCTTAATGCGACGTTTTAACGGAAAGTACCTCTTTGTTCCTCATATAGAGTTAGAAAGAAACTCAATGTCAGAGCATTCGATTACACAATATTCATAGCTTATGTAAGCATCAAAATTTTCACAATTTCTACGTTTTATTCGTTTCACCTGTAGGTATACAGGGTGTCCCAGAAAGGGACAGTATAGAGTTTTCGTCTTAGAATGCTCTCTAGAATTTGCCAGTGAAAGGACATACGACCTTTCTGGGACACCCTGTATAAGAAATCGAGAATTTAAATGTAAGAAATTTTAAAAGGATTGTGCACAGCCGTCATCGTAATTGATTTGAACGTACGTGCCTCTTTTACTTTCACGCCAGATGACAATCTCTACAGTTTGAATTATCAGCTGGGCAAAGACGCGGTGGAGCTCATTATCGACATATTATTGGCCGCGCAGTCCACCTACATACGTCAGTTCCTGAAGCTGAAGGACGCGATCGAGCGCGGCATGGTCGAGGTGAAATCGAACCTCGAGTTCCTGAGCATTCTGCAGGACACTTGCGCCGAGTTGAAGACTTGCGCAACTCCCGCGAGCGTGGCTCAGCACCTGCCAAAAATGATACATCTCTTCAGGACGATTTGGCTGAACTCCCCTTACTACAATACCCGCGAGAGGATGAGCAATCTCTTCAGCGCGCTCAGCAACCAGATCGTCGTCATGTGCAAAGGCTTTATCAGTCTGGCGGATGTGTTTACGGGGAAGATCAGGAAGAGTATGAAGATCTTCGACGAGTGCATCAAACTGTGCGAGGATTATGAGACTCTCTATCATCAGGTGAGTCTCGCGTTGCGGGGGAAACGTCTTGTAATAATAACATTTTACATATAAAAATATATAGTACGTATTGTACGTATAAAAATATAAGAAAGACATCGTAAAAGTCTTGAAAAATACTGCGAAAACATAAAGCGTTCCGTGAAGTATTCCGGAAAGAGAGAAAACTTACCGTAATATTATATAAAATATATTATATAAAATGTTAAAATTGCATTAATTACTCGCGTATAGCAAGTCACGTCTCTTCTCGGCATTTAATTATTTTACATACGCTACCGAAGTTTAATTTAAGTTTAAATTTCTCTTTAAATTTCTGCGTAAAAGAAGAAATTCTCTTTTGACAGAATTTTGCTATAATTTTAATTAATTTAATAAGTTATTCTATAATAATTATAATGATAAGATATTCGCAGGCTTTGTGCGCGTATATTTATTTTAGTAATTAATAAGTAAAAGTACATCTTTGTGAAGTACGTGTGAGTTCAAAAGCCGGTATGTAACCGTATACATGATGTGCGTATAAAACGCGGTGCTTTATGCTGTCTACAAATTCACCTTCCAGCCGGTGAGTTAAACTCCCATTAAATTATGTGTGCGCAGCTACTTTAGCTACTTAGACCTCCTTGTTGGACAACGTGAGGATGAATTTCTCCGTTAATGCGGAAGTTACAAAGTGATTTTGGTTTTCAGTGATAATTATGATTAGATATGATAATTCAAAGTGAAAGCGAGGCAGCCGGCAATTTTCTGTGAATTTAGAGTCAAACAAACAATCGCTCGCAGTGAGCGCTTGATGGAATTATCATAGCGGGAGGGAGAGAAAGGGAGAGAGAGAGAGAAAGAAAGAGATGGATGTCTATGTACGCGATCTGCCGCGAAGGATGCTCCTTAGAAATACAAAACGGGACAAGGCGAAAAAGAGGCTTTCGATTTAAGTGGAGATCGCAATATAACACCGACTTACGCTTTTCCCGTGGGCAGATAAGCCAGAATAGAGGTGGGAATTGGGAAACGATGTGACGCGACGGCTCTCTCGACTACTTGTTCTCGAGTTGCACTAGGGGTTAGCACGCCATGTGCCCGAAGGGATAGGTGACACGACTTCTTAGACTTTTGTGCAGAAATCCGTGCAATCGCGTTACATAGCGGATTTCACGGATCGCTAACGCGCGTCTTCGGTCCTTCGTGCAATACCTCGTGTAAAAACGAATAGTGCAATAGTAAAATGTCTCCTCCGAAGACTTTTCCGACTTTCGTCGAAAATTGACACGACGAATCTTCCTTCTTTTTACTGCCTTACTGTATTTTTTTCTTCTTTCTTTTGCTCCGCGTCTACTTAATATTTTTATTTAAAGTAGAATACATTTATTTTAAGTATAGAATCCTCGAAAACTTGATAGAATATCTCTCGTTACTGACGCATGAAAACAAAATTTTAATTTGCATCGAATGAAAGAAAGAGAGAGAGAGAGAGAGAGAGAGAGAGAGAGAGAGAGAAGAGAGATTTAGGGTACTGATTAATATTTAACAAAATAAATTCTTTTCGATATATTTTGTGTTAGATCGCCAACGCTCACATCAATCTCACGTATCACCCCTGGAACTTAGATACGAAGAGCATATTTCGTTACGTCAACGTTTTCATCGGCAGGTGTCAGGATATGATCGAGATTTGTCAAGCAATGATTGATTTTGCAAGGTTCAAATAGTGTAACGGCTTACAAGTATAACGATGAAAATGCACACACTATCTCGACTTTTTACTTGCGCTTTTATTTCCCGTTCATAAACAACGTTTTTTTAATTTGCTCAGCTATGCATACAGAATAGTTTACTTTATCCCTCTTTTCACGGTCGAATTAACGTGAAGTAATAATTTCGCTTACCTTTTTCCGGAGCTGTTATTTTATAAAGTACCGTTATTAAACGAGAATGAGATATTACATATGATTACAGCTATTAATTTTATATCATTCCAATTTATTACAGTCAAGATTAATTCTAAATTTTTTCTACAAAACTTTAAATGCAATAACCAAATAACAATAATTAAATTATCAGCATTGGAATTTGCTTATACAAATATTAATATTTTCGTAATACTGTAGCTGCAAGTTACAATATGATTTTTCAACGCAGATTGGATGAGACTACTCAGATTTTAAGTCCTAAATTCAGTGGTACAAATGGCGAGGAGTACGAAAGGGTATGTCAAAAGATCGAAAGACTTTTTTACGACGCCCTGAATAGAATTGAAGCGAATTCGCACAAGATTTTTGCCGTTCACGAAACTACGTGGCACGATGATATGATCGTATTTCGTACCGAAATGAGGGACTTGGAGATAATGATCGAAAATTTGATAGCCATCGTCTTCATGAACGTTAATAATATTCAAGAAGGGATCGAGAATTTACGAAGCTTCTACAGTTACTTGAATCGCAAGAATATGAAGCTGCTCTTTGACAGCAAAAATAGCAGCGTAAGAAATCAGTGATTCGTAAATAGAAGCTGCTTTTAAGAAATAATTAGTTGTGCGTTAATTTGACATATACACAGTGCGGTCCATAAGTTCCCGGACTGATTTTTTTGCAGCCTCCCCATTGACGCCATTTATCGGACAACTGTTGAACTACATAGTGTGAACCTTTTCGAACAGCCATGTTGAGTGGCATAATTTTAGCCGCAGTTGTTGAAGAGTGCGGATGTTTGATATAGCCTGATGTTGTGTGTGTGCGTCACAGGCAGAGAAAGGATTGGCCAACGCAGCTAAAATATAGCCGTGGCAGCTAATGCGTGTTTTTAAAATATAGGGACAACTAATATTGTTACTGCCAACGCTAAATTTATTAGTTGTTAAAATTTAGGCGCTACAACAAAAAATATTTGCTGAAAAAATCAAATAATGTTTAGCTAATTCTATTGAGGAATATCCAGCATAACTTTCATTCTTTCCTTATGTCTCTTTCTTAGCTACTTCTGTTAAAATACGCTTTTATTTTAGCTAATAAAATTTAAAATACATGATGAATTTGTTATAATAGTTTAAAAATTATTTAAAAATAACAAAAATCTTTATAAAGTGTTAATATTGTTT